TCTTTGATAATCTGACTTTGTCCTTCAGGCCCCACCAGCTTGCTGGCCAGGGCTGGGCAGAGAGGGCAGCAAATGGCATGAGTTGGGGTCACCCACGGAGTTGATGTTCCTGGTTTAGGTGGTTTGCTGGGGCTGCGTGGGAGATGGAGGAAATAGAAGGCTGGGGAATCCAGGGTCGCTTCGTGCCTAAGAATTTCTGACACAGCTCCCCTGTCTGGGTGGGGAAAGAGAACCCAGCTTCTAGGGTAGGGGATTAGGTAGGGGTTGGGAAACTAAGCACATGCTTTAACTCGCTGACATCACTTTAGAGATGTAAAGCCTGTGTTGCGTCACACAGGTCAGACACAGGTTATAGCTGCGAAGCTCAGACCCATCATAGGGTGACTGACCATGCCACTTTGCTCAGGGCTGAAGGGTTTCCCCAAGATGCAGGACTTCCGGTGTTAAACTGGGACAGTTCCGGGCAGACCGAAACAGTTGGTTATCCTACTCATAAGTCTACCGCAATATTTAATTCTTGCTATTTCTAGGAAGGCAAAGGAGGCCAGTTTAAAATTTGTTTATTTTGCTTTCCAAATCCCTTTCCTCCAAACATTAAAACACCCAGAGTCGTTTCCAGAGGAAACATCACAAAGGGGCAACGTATGGTCCAAGGGGAAAGCCCCGAATGAGATAGAGCTGTCCCAACACCCAGGCCTTGGGGACGGAAAGGACAGGGGACAGAGGTCCTTGGGATGGTTGGTCATGTATAAATCTCGGTTATCAGTAGTATTATTTTGTTGCCAGCTGCTTGCTGCCTACCGGAGTCTTTAGTCCTTGGGTTACTTTCGTTTCACGTAAATTAGTTTTGGAGAGAAGCTTTCTTATCACTCAAATATCAACAGATGATTTTTAAATCTAAACTTTATCTTCCTCTGGTCTTGTAGATCAGAGTTCTAGAATCTAGACGTTTTTGTGTGGATATGCTGCTTTCATCACAAGCTCGACACACTTGAAACAAGACTTCCCACATTCTCTGTACTCTTACAAACTAAGTCGCCTTCTCAATATCCTCATTTCCAGCAGCGGCATCTCCATTTTACTTGTTCCCTGGGCTTTTATTGTGGCATTTTCTTGGAGAGGCCTTCCCCGACCACTTCACCCACCCTTCTCTACCCAATACCCTGCTGGATTTTTCTCCATAGCACTCAGTACCTGACTTTATATTGATATAATTATTGGCTTGCTTTTTGGGTTGTCCTTTGGAGGATAAGCTTCATGAGGACCGGGACTTTGCTTTGTTTTTCGCTGTGTCCCCAGGGCCGAGTATAATCCTTGGCACACAGTAGGTCCTTAAGAGATAACTACAGGGTTAATGATTGTTTTCTCCATTGGATTGCGACGCCTGGTAGGGGAGGCACCATATTTATTAAATGCGCATGCAGTCAGACTTTTAGTGGATGCTTAAAGAAGCATTCAAGATTTTTCTTTTTTTTGGATAGGTTTTTTAATTTTTTATTTATTATTATTATTTTTTGCCTTTTGTCCTCTCTCTAATCCATCTCAAACACTACCATCCAGTAAATCTTCTTAAAATTACGTTTTTATTTTTAATTACCTATTGAAAGCCTGGGGCGATTTCTCACCCACACGATGAACTAGATTCCGAGTGTTGAATTTGTTTGACCGATATTCTTAGAATCCAGGACCTCTGTGATCGGATCTTCCCTACTCATCTAACTTTATCTCTCGTTCGTTCTCGGAGGAGAACGTTTTGCTTCACAGATGAGTTTCTCACAGCCCAAGAAATATTCGTCCGCATCGTTGCTGCCTCCTTTGCTCCTGCTCTTCTTCCTACCTGAAATGCTGTTCTCTTTCTAGTCTGTCTTCCTCCCTTCAGGTCGTGTGCTCCAGGAAGCCACCACTGCTTGTGCCAGTACACCCTGACCACTCCTTTCTGTGAATTTCAGCAGGTTGGCACTACATTGTGTATTGTTTTATACAGCTCTCCAGGGTTTCCTGTGGGCTTGCTCTGTCTCTGTGGAAGACCAGATCCTTGTCCCCTTCACGGTGTTAACATATAGTAAGGGCCCAATCTAGTTACACTGACCTGAAAGTCAGTACTGGGATAGAGATTGCAAAAGGATCCGTTAAAACTCTTTTGGGAGGTTATTTTAGGCACAGTGGTTTATCCTTGGGGTTGAAATTTCTTAAGACCTGGCAGCTTGGCTGAGTCCCCTCCACTCTGGCTGCCTCACCTTTCACTCGCAGTCCCAGCTTAGTATCTGGCATTGCAGCAGTTGGCTCAGTCTCAGGCACCCTGGCGACCTGCTCTTGGGATCCCAGGGCTTGACAAGTCAGCTCTGAGGAACAGACCCTTCATAGAGAGTTTGCTTTTGTCCTTCATGGTTTCTTGCCAAGCAGAGCCACTAGCTGCTGGTGCATGCAGTGTGTGCTGGGAGCTTTGGGTAGCCATGGATGCCCATATGCCATTTCTGAATTGCAGGACTGTGTATTACAGGTTTGAATCAGCACAAGAAATTTTTTTCCGAGTTCAAATGCTAGCTGCACTTGAGCGTATAGAGCTCTGTTGTTGAACAGACTTGGGTTTGTTTAAGTCCTGGCTCCTCTTACCAGAGTCTGACCTTAGACGTCTAAGTGACTTAACTTCTCTAGCCTCCACTTCCTCATCTGTAAAGTGAGGGTGATGATAGCACCTATTAAATGGGATGTGGTGAGGACTGAATGAGCTAGAGCACTATAAAGGGCTTAGTGGTCTGGCACAGATGGAGCAATGAATAAATGTTATCGATCCAGTTATTATTCTGTTATTATTCAATTGTCTTTACCTCTTAACTCCATGTCAGCAGTTCCCTTGGTCCTTTGTCCCAGCTCAGGACATTCGCATTCCCTAGGTGACATACAGGAAGCAATAAGGTCCAAAAATATTTGTTGAAGCCAGCCATGTATCCAATATAGTGTCAAGTATAGAAAGCAGAATACAAAATTGTTCTTGCCCTCAAGTTGTCAAGTAGAGGACAAAGACTTTAGACGAGTTATTACGATATACTAGGATAAGCACAATAATGGAAGTACATATCAGGTAAGCAAAAAGAACAGATGAGAAACATTGATTCAATTTGAGAAGGAGGTGGTCAAAGAAGGCCTAAGAGGAGATGATGACTGAGTAACTTAGGGTGCTAGAGGATAGATAGAGTTCACCAGGTAACTGTGGGAAGGAGTGGGGGTTCAGGGTTGGGGGAGACCTGGAATAAGAAAGGACTGCATATGAAAAGGGAGGATGCATGAGGAAGTCTTGTGTGTCAAGGAGAAATTAGGCAAGATTAGTGTTACAGCATAAAGAATGGATTTTGGGAGATGGCAGGAAATGAGGAGGCTGTCCTAGGCAAGAGCCAGATAATGACCAGTTATGTAAATGATAAGCAGCACATACCATGCCGGGGAACTGCTGACCACTCCCTTCCTCTAGGGACTTCCACGATATCACAATCTCCCAGTTGTCCTCATACCCTATTCTGGACATTCTTAGTTATTTTTCTCGCTTTTGCTTTTTATCCCACCTCTGAATATCAGCATTTCTCAGGACTCGATCCAGGGGCCTCTCTGCATGCTCTCTGTGGGCGATTTAGTTCACTCTCAAGGCCTCCGTTACTGCTTCTGTGCAGGCAGCACGCAAATCTGAGCTCTAGTCCCGTGTTTCCCTGCCTGTGGATATCTTGCAGATATTAAACTTACCGTGTCTAACGCCAAATCCAATATTTCTACCCCATAAAATTGCACCACCATCTTTCTAAGTCTAGGCTGCATTGTCCACCTGTTCGCTCAGGTCCTAAGCCTGGGAGCCATCCTTCACTCCCCTCTCTCCATCACCTCTCCCATGTAAACAAACCCTGAGATTTGTCATTCTACCTGTTAAATATCTCTTGATTTTATTTGCTTTCTACAATAAGGAACTGAATTATTCTTCAACTACATCAGCTTGAAAGATGACCCCGAGATCCAGGTGAGGACTCAGCTCACCAGACAACTTGGTATCAGCTATGTGAAACCCTAAGCTGTTGTGCCCAGATGTCTGACTACAGAAGTGTGAGTTAATAAATGGATTTGATTTTAAACTATTACATTTGTGGTAATTTGCTATTCAGCAACCGAAAACTAAGATAAGCAGCATACTAGGAGCTCTTGCTGAGTTGACAGGACAAATCTTATTACAAACTTGATGAGGACTGGGAAGACAAACCAGGACGGGGAGAGTCTGGCTTAGATTCCATGGTCCATCGTCATAAGCAGTTCCTTGCAGACACCTCGTACTCCCTTGTGTGTCTCTGTTTCTTTCACGTTTACCCAGAAACACATAACCATGGTTGGAATCAGCTGTCTGCTCTGTAGAGGTCTACGCCCAAGCTTATCATTGTTGGAAAAAATTACCCAACCAGACTGACTGTTTATTTTCTGCAAAATCTCAAATGGACAGTCAGCTATAATTTATTATGTTTTTTGAGTCAATTATCTTTACTACTCTCTAAAAAGGCGTTTACACACTTTCTCCCCACTTCCCAAACAAGCTATATCCTCTTCTTCCCTCACACCTCATACTCTGGTGAATTAGAAAAAATCAGATAGGACTTATTCATTTTCCAACCATCAAACCTACCTGCTTCAGTAGCCACATGCTCTACCTTCTGTCACATTGCTGGGGTGGGGGGTGAGCATCTGATTCTTTGTGTATAGAGCTGTCCTTCCATCTCATCCTGACCCATCTACTTAAGGTGTTGGGAGCCCATGAATAAATCAGGTTCCTTTAGGCTACAAGTAAGAAAATATATTTCAGAATGGTTTAACAATAAGAAAAATGTATGATTTCACCAGACAGGGTTTTCAGGATTGATTAATTCAGTAGGGTAACATTGTCAAGAACCCAGGTTCTTTCCATCTTTCTCCTCTTAATCTCTTCAGCATGGAGACTTGTCCCAGTCATTATGGTTCCAAGATAGTTGCCACAGTTTCAGGCATCGCGTTCAATGTGGTAACATCCAGTGAAAAAGAGAGAGGCCATTCTTTCTCTTTTATTACCAAGGAAACCCGGTCTAGACCCACTCCAGAGACTTCCTTTCAGGGGCCAGAACTGGGTTGACTGCTCATCCCTGAGACTACTTATGAAGGGAGGGATAACCATCACGAGCTTAGACCAGCTGTTCTCGAAGGGACAGCAGCAGCATCACCTGAGAACTTGTAAGAAATGCAAATTCTTGAGCCCCACCCTAAAACCTACTGAATCTGAGGCCTAGGCATCAGAAATTAAAGAAAAAAAATTCCGGAGAGTTCTGCATGGCTGGTATGGAGCATCACTCTCAGCAGCCTGGCGAAGACTTAGAGCTAAGGAAGAAGGTGGTAGCAGGAACATCCTATGATGTTGTTCTGGGGGCAGTGAGCACTAACATTTACTTTTTTGGTTGTCATTTCCTGTGTCAGCTCCAAATTTTCAGTAACATTTCTTAAACGCAACAGCTCTGTGTTTTGTCCTTTGAAGAAGGACCTCGTGTTCATTCTTGGGCCAAAATAGGCTGGAGAGATTGGTGGCAGTGTGGAGAAATGGTTAAATGAAAGTTAGGCGTGTTTGAGGAGAGACGGCAACTGGAATGAATTTGCATTATCTGTTTAACATCTCCCTAGAATTCTCGTAATTATGATTCT